GCCACATTTCAAAGATGCATGATGAGTATGTTTAGTGATATGGTAGAGGATTGCAAGAAAGTTTTTATGGATGACTTGACTATTTTTGGGACCTCCTTTGATGCATGTTTGTTAAATTTGAAAAGAGCCTTGGCTAGATGTGAAGAAAAAGGCTTAGTTTTGAATTGGGAAAAAGTCAGTTCATGGTGTCTTCCGGTATTGTCTTAGGGCATGTTATTTCTTCAAGAAGGATAGAAGTAGATAAGTCAAAAATTGAATTGATCTCTAAATTGCCTACACCCAAGACAATAAAGGACATTAGATCATTTCTTGGTCATGCATGTTTTTATAGGAGGTTTATACAAAATTTCTCATCCATATCCAAACCCCTATGTAACTTGCTAAACAAGGATGTGACTTTTGAATGGACATCTGAATGTCAAAATGCACTTGAATTGATGATTGGTAAACTCACCTCCGCACCCATAATGCAACCACATGATTGGACATTGTGATTTGAAATTATGTGTGATGCTAGTGACTTTGCGGTAGGTGCTGTTCTAGGGCAACGAAAAGAAGGTAAGCCTTTTGTGATTTACTACACTAGTAGAATTCTAAATAGTGCTCAAATGAATTATTCCACTACTGAAAAAGAATTACTAGAGGTAGTCTTTGCACTTGATAAGTTTCGATCCTATTTGATTGGCTCTCTCATTACTATTTTCACAGATCATGCAGCTCTTAAGCACCTTTTGCAAAGAAGGATGCTAAGGCAAGACTAATACGTTGGATCTTACTTTTACAGGAATTTGACATCATTACCAAAGATAAGAAGGGAGTGGAAATTGTTGTAGCAGAACATTTGTCAAGGCTGACTTTTAAAGACAACTCAAACACCTAGCCATTAGAGATGAATTTCCTGATGAAAATTTATTTACTATCTCTTCTCTACCATGGTTTGCTAATATTGTGAATTACTTGGCTGTGGGTGAAATCTCAAATAAGTGGAGTGCAGAGGATAAGAGAAAATTCTTGGCTAAGGTACGTAACTTTTATTGGGATGACCCCTGGTTATTTAAGTATTGCCCCGACCAAATATTGAGACGATGTGTTCCTGATGAGGAGATACCTAGTATACTAGATTTTTGCCATTCCCAAGCTTGTGGGGGCCACTTTTATATGAAAAAGATTGCTGCAAAAATTGAATCAAGATTGCTGCAAAAATTGAAAGAGCTAGTTCTATCAAGATTGTAGTACTTTGAGTTAGCTTTTCAATGAAACTTGAATCATCTCAATCAGACGTCGGGAGAGGAAGTTAGGACTAAAATACTGAAAGTAGTCGTACAGAAAAATTCTAGCCGAAAATTTACTTTTCTTATTCGGTTCAACCTCTTGTGGAAACACATTTTGCACACGATTTTAACCCCCAAAAACGTCCCAGAATGCCTCCATTCATTCTGGATCACTTTTCTCTCATCCTTGGCACAAGAAACTCCATGAAGAACTAAAATCTTTGGTGAAACTACGAAGGAACTCATTGGATTTGGAGATTTCATGTCATAATTTCATGTAATTCGAACTCTCTTTGCTTAATAATTTCTAGATTTGGATTTTCTCGTTATGAATTAGTATTGAAATTTGTTTAACTTTTAATAAATTTCTCATGGATTCAGTCATGCCTCTTCCATTGTTAAATTAAACTATTTGTTGAATTTCAACTTAAATTACTTATTGTTGAGATTATTTTAACTTTTATCTAGACCTTCATAGATCTAGCCATGCTCTTTCTATCGAATGATTGAAATAATTGTTGAATTTTAATATTAATATCACTTTATTGGCTGATTGATTACTGCCTTATGCCTGACGTATTTGGTTGATCTTTGATCTTGTTCCAATAAAAATGTGTGAATGTGTTATAGAAAATCTAGATTCTAGAAATATAATTGGATTTCATTGTTAAATCTTCCAACTAGAGAGTTGGGAAGAAAACCTCTAATTGAGTAAAAATACATGAATTATTGATGTTGATTGATCCAATTCAATGGGGGAACTCCGACGCTTCACTAATTTTGCATATTGATAATTAATTTTTATTCCAAGTGACAAATCATTCCCACATTTATTTACGAAAACTCTAGTTTGTTTGATCCTTTGAGAAATTTTCCATCTCCCTGTGGATACGATACCTCAAAGCTGTACTACAATCACCGCATTATTCTTTGGGCGTAATCAGGCGAGAACCGATAGAAAATTGAACGATCCTTCGAGCAACATTTGACATGCGCCTAAAAAAAATATCAAATCCTAGAAATCATCCAAACTAAAATACAGAAACAAAAAAAATACGAACCTTTCTTTGCTACATGACGAAAAAAAAACATAGAGCACCAAAAGAGATTTAAACCGCCCAAAAAAAATTTACCTAATCACCCTATAAACTGGAAACGAAGACCAACAAGCAAGATCTCGCTGTCTGCCAAGGAAAAAAAGAAGAAGAGACGACATATGAAAAAAAGGGGGAAAATAACCGAAAAAACAAATAATAAAAGTACCTCTCTTCGGTGGGAAGACGAAAACTATCAACAAATTAAGATTCCACAGGTGATAATCGATAGAAACTTGAAAGAAAATAAGATCTAAGACTTTGCACAATTCGAAAGTATTAAGCTAGGGTTTCAGCTACTTTCGTTTTATATGGTAGACAAAACGACATCGTTTCGTGCCAAGGAAATGCATATAATAATGTTGTGTCAAGGGCGAAAAAACAACCAAAAATTCTGATGAACATTGCCAAAGAGAAGTCCCTCTTTTATTGAATAGGGATAAATAGATTTCTATGAACTCATTTGTGACACTTTTCTAAGATTTTTATGAATTAGGTGTGTTTAAAAATAGTTATATTTTATAGAAATTAACGTACAAGTTATCGTTCATTCCAATAATGGAAGTGATAAGATTTAGCATTACTATTTTTAAAATTTCAGCTACTGTCATTGACTTCAGAAATGCGGAACTCAATCGTTACTTGAAATTTTAGGACAAAACCAATGGAGTTTGATAATTGTAGCAATTATTTCATTGACCTTTTTCATCGAATCTCTATCTTCAACTTTTTATTAATTAGTACGTCTTGTCTTTGATTATGATTTATATCAAAATATTTTATTTTCATGCTTTGAAATGAGAAAAAATATTTTTCGCACTTTTAGTTATTTATTTTTAAAAATATGATGAAAAAATAGGTTGTTTTATGTTATTTCAACAAACTTTTGAATATGAAATTATTATTAAATATAACATGTGTTAACTAATGAAAAGTTTGATAATAAGAATGACACGAAAAATTATGAGGAACATAAGTGCTATAATAAGTAAAGATTGAGAACCTTAAATACAATTATAATGTGGTGTAAAACAAAAAATTGTGATATGAATATAATTACCCTACTTTAAGAACCCCATGAAAGCATAAAGACAAAAATGTCTGTAAGATAAACTGAAATAAAATGACAGACTAAGCTAAGTATCCGTGTACCTGATGCACAAAAGATGCGCATCTAGGTGTCTTTATCTTGATCGTTATGCAACCCCACTTTGTCTAGAAAGGCTAGATCAGTTCATTCCCGTCATTCTCCCACGTTAAAGTCGATTCGCCCTCAATTGGACTTGATTTCATCCCCATAAGAGTTGTCACGCAGTTAAGGAATGAGATGCTTCACATTAAACATACCATCTACGCATACATGACTAGGAAACTTGAGATGATAGGCATTGGGATTGATCATCACACTAATACCATTCTTCATTGCCTAAATGGATGAGATAACAATCTTTGGTTAACACTGACCCGCCACCCAATAATATCAATCTTCAGTTAATTGTATCAAAGTATTATCGTCATATGGCTAATTTGACCCATCCGAGATTGTAAAATAATTAACCATCGCCCTTAGGGCCGTGGAGAAGCACCATTATAAGGGTACTTCTACAACGAGCCTACCTTCCATCGTCTCTATGAGCACCAGCTACCAATGTCTATAAATACTCGATCAGTTCATCTTGCCACAACACAACATTTATTATTTGTTGTGCAATGGTTTCAATGGACTTCTAGATTTGTGTTAATACGCCATAACGAATTTCGTGATCCACAGAATTTTCACCACCACCATGACCACCACGCCTACAGTTTCCTCATAGCATCCTTGATTGTAGTTGANGCCGTTGCCGGGGAGACGGTACAAATAATTGAAGGATTCTTGAGCAAAAGGGTGACTTCGTTTCTCTTTTACATTTTTTTAGTTAGTTTGATTTTATTAGTTTTTATTCTATTATTTTTCACAAAATTCCATATTTTTTTTGGTGCTTTATGAACAGAGATCGAGACGAGCGAGGACGATTCATTGCAAGGCCGCAACCAGTATTTGAATCTCTTCCTAACCCTCTCTTTGATATTGAATCTATTGGCACACACATCACATCACATAACACAATGACTAATATTGAACACGAAGAGGCACCAACTAGGACTTTGCATGATTATCTTCACCCCACACGCACATCTACACCATCTGCATTATATTTCCACATAATATGCCACGTATGGACCTTAAACCAGGGATGATTCAACTTCTTCCCACCTTTCACTATCTTGAAAATGAAACCCATACGTGCATATTAGGGAATTTGAAGAGGTGGTTGCAACTTTCCACAATCAACGTGGTACAATGGATGTAGTCAGGCTTAAATTTTTTCCATTTTCTCTTAAAGAAAGAGCAAAGAGATAGTTGTATTCATTGTGACCACGTTCAATTGGGACTTGGGCTGAAATGACTCAAGCATTCTTTGGCAAGTACTTTCCCCACCACAAAACAACTGCATTGAAAAAGCAAATCTCGTCTTTTACTCAAAAGGAGAGTGAAACTTTATATCAAGCGTGGGAAAGGTACAAAGAATTGCAAGCCCTCTGCCCCCATCGCGGTTATGAAAGTTGGCGCATTGTAAGTTATTTTTATGAGGGATTATTACCTCGGGAGCGTCAATTTATTGAAATGATGTGTAAT